ACCGTGGAGCCTGTTGTGGCTCCCCCCCCGGCTCAGCTTGCCCAGCTCCCTGAGTACGAGATCTACCACGATCACGTCCTCGTCCCGACATCTATAAGTTCAAGAAAAGAGCCATTAGACACAGTAAATGAGACCATAAGCATATATAACGTAGCAAATAGCAATAGAAAAACACAACACATAGTATCCTCGAAAATACTTTATAATCAAAGTAAGACAATCATAAAAAAAATTCTCAAAAATTTTTAAGTTATACGCATAACGGCCTCACTCAATCTAGGAATTTCTAGCGAATTGTATACAAGAACCCTAGAAAACTTTATACTAGCTCCACGACTCAACACAAAATATCCTAAAGATGCTGAAACTAGAGCTCTGATACCAACTACGACGCTCCTGTTTTCACACATGGCTGCAGTCTAAGGTGAACCTAGAGATGTCAAACCCGTCATGCACCCTTCACTGTGCATAAACATATTTCACTGTCACAATTGCTCACTCTAGCAGAAACAAAGTATAAAATAGAGAGGGTACAAACAGATACAACAAAAATGAAAATATACGAAACACAATGTAGATAAAAGACATCCAACAGTATCAATATGTTCCAACAGAAGAAAAGAGAGTACATCTGATAAACTAAAATAAATATAATGTATCTCTAACACATAAGAATCAACTGAAAAGTACATAGGCACTCAGCCTCCAAAATAAAACACATCTAAAAGAGTTAAAACAAAATATAATGGACTGTTGAGTACTAACTATCTATAAATGACGAAAATCTATATTCTGTCCCCGTCAACTTGCGACTCTCCGAACCCTGACTCGCTGCTTGAAAAAATAAAAACGAGCGTTTAAGTGCTAGCGAAAATATCTTCACCACTCCCAGGAGGAAGGGGTTAGGTGTATATTAAAATACTATTATAACATATATAAATATATAAATCATATATCCTGAACTAAGAGTAGTTAAGATTTAGAAATCCACAAAACGAGATAAGTACATCGAGCAAAATAATCCAAACAAGACAACTCTCATATATATACCATGTATCTCAAATTATGGATCGCTAAATATCAACTCTAAATCCTATAAATAATTAGTCAACAAAGAAAAATACACCATCAACATCTCATCCAAAACAAGTCGTATATGTTGTATCGTAGTATCTCACGCTACCCTCGGTAAGTGGCACGGAAACAAGTGTAAAATCCTGTGAAAGCCTCGTCAAGTATACATCACCACACAAAAATGTCAAATATTAGACTACATTCACAAATAGTACTCGTCGGAGTTCTAGTCTTCCTAAATATGTAGAGTGTAGTCGTCCGCAGTATTATGCAGCTCACGGACTATCACACTCGGAGTGCAGTCGCCCGCTATATCATACAATATACGGACATGCGCACTCAATCACTGAAACAATGATGCATCACGAAGTGTAGTAACTCGCGTTCTCATGCGATGCACGGACTAACGCACTCAGTCGCCCACGTTCTCATTGCGATGCACGGACCAACGCACTCAAGCATCCGCAACTATCGTAAACCGAAACAATCGTCACTCTATCGTGACACAAAAATATTAGACTACGCACTACCTAAAAGCTCGTGCGTGCTCAAGCCCAATATGTGCACTCTCATGGTCACGCACGTGTATCGACGTACGACTGGTATTTCGTGGTTGCGATCAAATGCGCGTGGAATAACCTAATATTTTCAAAACAGCACTAGGTCGATCGACTGATTTTCTTCATCGGTCGACCGGCGGCGACATGCACGAAACATGCATAAACATCCAGCCTTGATCGGTCGATCGATATATGCGTCGGTCGACCGACCAGAGGAAATTTTTCAGATCCTGAGAAAAATTAGTTTTCGGTCGGCCAATGCTTCTGATCAGTCGACCTATCAGATGACAAATCAAAAACGTTAGATTTTCTCTAAAATTCACCAAAATCGAAATTTTTCAAAGAAACTTATATATACAATCTTGATTTACTATAATTAGGATTTGCTCTGATACATGAAACCACAAATATAAGTTTGAGGGGATCTAATAACCCTAACATGATTATATTTGTAAATTCATCATGAAAACAATTAAATTAGCAAAAATTTCATGCAAGATTTACTTCAAACCTTCAATCCTAATTAAAGAATTCGTTTCATAACTTTTAAATCAGAAAAGATAAACTTTTACATCATAAAGTTTAAGGGGGTGATCCCTACACATATAATATGTTTTAAAAATCCAATAAAAACCAAGAAAAACGGGGATGGGTTTGGAGAAGATGAAACTCGTCTTTTGAAAACGTTTTGATCTGTCACACGTGGATGAAAAGCTCGATCCTTCTTCACAAAAACCGTAGATCTCACCCTCCTCTCGAACATTGCTTCAAATCTTCTTCCAAAGCAAGATAAATTTTTTTAGGGTTTTGAGGGGGGTGGCTGCTGCTCAGAACGTAAGGGACGAAGAAGAAAAGAGGAGAAAGTCTGGTATACACACACACACACACACATATATATATATATATATATATATATATATATATATATACAAAACAGACCCGACGACAGATATTTAGGGTAAGGCGACCGACCAGCACACTGAAGCAGACTCGACAGTTTATATATACCTGAGTACATTATCATACATATATATGTGTGTGTAATCGATTACAAACAGATCCATTCATCCTAGAATGATCACCAAACACAAAAGAACTCATTTATCATTATTTTTGATAATATTTTCAAATTTTTGAGGTTTTACAGATGCAATTCAATTTGATTCTTGTGAACACGATTATAAAATAATATGACAACATATATGAGAAAACAAATATGTCCACGTGTATGTATGTATGTATATGGGATATTGCATATGAGATGGTAGCTCATTTCGTAAATGAGTTACCAAGATAGAGTGGTAAACAGACCCGACGACAGATATTTAGGGTAAGGCGACCGACCAGCACACTGAAGCAGACTCGACAGTTTATATATACCTGAGTACATTATCATACATATATATGTGTGTGTAATCGATTACAAACAGATCCATTCATCCTAGAATGATCACCAAACACAAAAGAACTCATTTATCATTATTTTTGATAATATTTTCAAATTTTTGAGGTTTTACAGATGCAATTCAATTTGATTCTTGTGAACACGATTATAAAATAATATGACAACATATATGAGAAAACAAATATGTCCACGTGTATGTATGTATGTATATGGGATATTGCATATGAGATGGTAGCTCATTTCGTAAATGAGTTACCAAGATAGAGTGGTGAAGTTCATTTGCACCCATGTGACCAGTAAGTTGGACCAAGATAGAGGAGTGGTGAAGTCCATCTCTTTTGTGGCTCAACAAAATTGTCATGGTGCCAACATATTCACTCACTAGTTTCATCCATTCATGTGTCAGTGCCCTGCATGCAACACAATTCAGATGCATATTGACGTAAAGCCATCCACAAAATTGGATATGTTTATACAGTTAAAAATCATGAAGATCTAATGAGAAGATCTGATGAAGGATGTACTTCTCACTCTCATCTGCCAATTTATCTCGCTACTATCCCTCTCAATTATGTGCTTACACATCATAACCAGAAATTTCATCCAAACATCTGACCCCATCCTATTGAATGTTTCATCCTAACATATCATACTTACACCTACAAATATGGCAATGAATTGCTGTACTTCTGGACACCAAGCAATATTCCGTCCTAACTCTTGATTTCACCTTACTTCATATAATTTGAAGCCCCAGTTCACTTCCTTTAAATTCTAAAAGTATTTATCAACCTGATCATATAATTGGAATATTAGACATGATATTACAAACATCTCAAGCTTTTAAATGCCTAGGCCAACTGGCACTAGGTTCAAGATGAAGAGAGGGCTTTCGTTGGTTATTTCTCCCATTACAACCACTTATGTTAAGTGACTTTCATGCAAAAACTTTATCCGCAAATCTATTACCCAGGCTTGTCAGGTGTACTTTACTCCAAGCCAAGTAATAAGCAAGAGATCAGGTAATGAGTATGAGATGTCAATAAGGAAATTCAAACTACCAAAAACCTACATGCCTTATCACATCGAATTTATGAAAACAGGGGGGAAAGAAAAAGTAAAAGAAAACCATGCAGATCACAGAAAACTAGGAATAGCACAACACATGGAAACAATAGATAAGATAGGTTGAATGTCACAATACTAAAATTTCATTGCTCCCTTCGCATGTATGCTGCATGAGTACCGGTATGGGTATGGGACAATGCAAACTTGTAAAAGATAGGGTACGGGTACATGGCTATATAAATATTTATATACACATATTATATATTGAGATTAATAATTTATATAAGAACAATAATTAAAATTAAAATTCCTATAGCCTTTGTATGTTTCTTTTATTATGCGAATTATAAATTGGAAAAGCACTAGTTTTTGAACAAGACATCCAAGCGACCTTCAAAATCACAATTTGGAACCTCACTTATCCTCCAACGAGTTTCAAGAAGTGGTGTGAAGTGTAGGATATATGTCCACAAACTGAATGTCAAGTGTTTTAAATTAAAACATGTATTGTATAATTGAGTACATGCTTGAATAAATGCATGCAATTATGCAAGCAGTGCCAAAGGAGTTTGGGTACGGGTATGGGTGCAGGAATATGTCGGGTAAGGGTACGGCTTCAGATTAGAACTACCCAAGTAACATAGCTTCTCGCTAACTAGAACTGCTACATGGCAAAAGTTAGCACTGCAACAGAGTCACAGACAGAGAAACAGCTAATAAAAATGCTAACACAGAAGTACTTGTGTGCTTGGGTATATGCACAATGTAAGGTTCGCAAAATATGCATAACCAAAACTGATTTACTAATCAGTGAGATAATATGGATGATAAACAATTAACATCTATGGCAATTACAATCTGAATGATAAACAATCAACATCTATGGCATTTACCTTCCCATGTTGGCCAAAAATGGACTGCATATCTTCAATCGTAACATCATACGGCAAAGGAGATGCTGCAACTGTTCTTGAATCTACTTGCTCAATTACCTCCTCCGGCTTTGATAGTTCAGTCGTCCTACCAACCTTCTTCCCTGAGAATATGATTACAAACACTAGGATCGCACTTCTTCATACATCAAAGCTTTATTCTAAAAGCTAAGGTAGAAACATACACAGAGTAAAGAAGGACAGCAACTTACCAACAAACACAGAACAAAATCAAGAACTTAGTTTGGTCAACATTTCATTAATAAACATATTGGACATAACTGAAAGAACTAAGACTGGCTACAAATGGGAGACAGAAGATTAACACTAAATCAAACAAGAGTTTAAGTGCATAGAGACCACACTATAACAGTCTGCCCGGTTATAATCCATCCTATTTGTAGAAAGCAAAGGGATTTGCATGAACAAAATAAAAGATTGCCCAGAAAAAATTGTTATGACTCTATATAATTAAGTATTCACTATATTATCACACATTGCATCAAAATGTTACCTTTTACATCTAGGACATCTAGTTACAAGATCCTCTACTAAAATTAAGGGGTTTCTACCCATATAAAAGGACACCTAATTACAAAATCCTCTACTAAAATTAGAGGGGTTTCTACCCATATACACGGCCAAACCAATCATACTTACAATTTTGCCTCCTAAATCTATTTATGTACCAATTGACCCCCACTCTCGCTCTCGCACTCTCTAAATAACTTTGCAGGGTATTTTAACTCAGTGCGGTAAAATTGGGGAGTGGTGTATGCGTGAAGGGGGAGGGAGATCGCATAGCAGTAGATTTCGTTGGGTACATTGCAAATAGGACAAATTTTTGAAACCGACCATTTTTTAACTTTATTGGGCAAAATCGACCTCGTGGAAAAAAAAAGGCAAAACCGACCCTTTTTAAAAGAAAAGGGACGGTTTTGCAATTGTGAAGGTTTTACGAAGTGCACGGGACTACTAGTCCCGTGCACTTCGTTGTCGAGAGAGCCTGCTGGAAACAAAGTGCACGGGACTAGTAGTCCCGTGCACTTTGTTTCCAGCTTAAAAGAAATGGGGATGAAGATGTACTCGTGCTGAATTTTCCCTTATGTTGTCCAATACGTAAATATCAATTGGTGAATTGCTAGCTAGGGAAAGCTCATTGCCCCCCACCGAACCAACATTATATAATAAATTGTCAAGCTTGATGTGAGAGAGTTGAGAAAATGGGGAAGGTTAAGATGATGACCTTCGCGTGCATCATAGCCAATGGAAACAGTAACCAATACCCATTTTTCTTCTATAAACAAGGGAATAGTTGAGGTCTTTCCAAGGTAATAGAAGGCAACTAGACATTTGAATTGAAGGGCTCTTGGAAACAAAGTGCACGGGACTGCTAGTCCCGTGCACTTTGTTTCCAGCAATCTCTGGAAACAAAGTGCACGGGACTACTAGTCCCGTGCACTTTGTTTCCAGCAAGCTCTCTCGACTACGGAGTGCACGGGAGTAGTAGTCCCGTGCACTTCATAAAACCTCTACAATTGCAAAACCGACCCTTTTCTTTTGAAAAGGGTCGGTTTTGCCTATTTTTTTCCCACGAGGTCGATTTTGCTCAATAAAGTTGAAAAAAGGTTGGTTTCAAAAATTTGTCCATGATTATTACAAATTTAAGAACAAAAACTCTCACCGTCTTCAGAAACTTTGAGCAAAGTAGACTTCCTCAATGTCTCCGCCACCGCCAACACCATCTCCTCCGGCACCCCCTCCCCCTTCACATCACCCAAACCGAGATGGTTTCTCATCCGAGCAAATGAACATATTAAAGCCAAGCTCACCACTACAAAAACCAACCAAACTTAGAACTAGAAATAAAAAAGACGCTAAAAAAGAAAAAAAATATCGTTTCTTGAAGTATGCATACATCCATCTTCGCTCTTATTAACAGTTTCCCTCAAGAATTTGTCTCTTGGAAGATTGCTGTCGCTGAAATAGAACTCCACCTGCGAAAAATCACCCAAAATAAAGTTTAAAAATCGAAATTTTCCCATAAAAAAGAGAGGGATTAAGGTTTATGATTGTGGTTCACCTGACGGAGCACTTTGGCTGCCATGCTCTCGTCCAAGCAGGCGACCGCCATTGGAGAATTGAAGAAGAAAGAGAGGGATTGAGATGTTTTCTAGGGCTTCGAGGGGTTTTTAAGGGTTTTAGGGCTTATAATTGGACAGGATTATTTATATTTTGCAGACTAATACGAGTAGAAATCCCATCAGAATATGAGTGGGACCCATCATTGATTACTATGGTTTTATTGTAGAATTGGCGGAGATCAGGTTCGAGGCTCACCTGGTCGACCGCATTCGTGTACATTGTTCGCTGGGCTTCAGCATTGGTGGCGATCGACCGGTCCGGTCGACCGCAGAAGTTTCTGCTTGGTGGTCGGTCGACCGCCGAACTCTCTGGAGTTTTAGACCTCGTGCTGGATGGCAGTCGGTCGATCGGGACGGTCGACCGCGATGGATCGCGGTCGACCGTGCCGGTCGACCGCCAAAGCGGGTTGAGTCTGGGTCTGTTTTCCAGACCCGTTTCGTTTGGGTGTCCTATAAATACCCAAAGGGGTGTTTCTAGGGTTTGGAGGCTGGAGTTTGAGATCTGAAGGGAGAGTTTTATTGGGCTTCTATTGTTGGAGCAATTGGTGAGATCAAGAGTGAGTTGTTGTGGATTTTTTTGGTGAGAGATTGTAACCCTAGTTGTATCCCCTTGATTTCTAATAGTGAAAAACTCCCATCTCCTTGCCCCGTGGACGTAGGCATCTTGCCGAACCACGTAAAACTGGTGTTAGTGATTGTTTATGCTTGTTGGTGTGTTGGTTTATCTTTTCTTGGCGATTGGTTTGGATTCTCGAGGCACAACAAGTGGTATCAGAGCTCCGGACAACGTTTGGGCTTTTTGGAGGTATAGATCAGTTGGGAAGTTCATCTAGAGCTTCGATTGGTGATAAAGGTGGAATCTTTGTGGTAAAGTTTCTATCTTTTTCAAGTTGGATCTATTTTCTTGTTTGTTCCGCAATTGTTTGGGTGCTTTGAGATTATGGCCGGAAAGGATAAACATGGGGAGGGTTCTTCTAGTGTGAAGGCCGTCCAAAGTTTGAATATACATTCTATGAAAATAGATGTGGAAAAGTTCAGCGGCACAAATAATTTTGGACTTTGGCGATGCGAAGTCATGGATGCGCTAAATGCGTAAAATTTGGAAGATACGTTGGAGTTGGACGGGAAACCGGACAACATGGATGATAAGGTTTGGAATAAAATGAACAGAACGGCGTGTGGTATGATTAGGTCTTGCCTTACGCAAGATCTAAAATATGATGTGATGAATGAAACTTCGGCAAAGAAGATTTGGGAGGTCCTAGAGGGCAAATATTTGACAAAGAGTGTCGAAAATCGTTTGCATTTGAAGAGGAGGCTTTATCGCTTCCAATTGAAGAAGGGGACATCCATTAGTGATCACATGAACCACTACACGAAGCTACTTGCAGATTTGGCGAACGTAGATGTCATTGTTGAAGATGAGGATAAAGCATTGTTGTTATTGAGTTCCTTGCCCGACGAGGAATATGAGACCTTCGTCCTCACTCTTATTAATGGGAAGGCATCTCTTTCGTATAGTGAGGTCACCGCAGTCCTTGTGAACTATCAACTTCGAAAGAAGGACAAGGAGACTTCCATTGAGCCGGTTGCGAGGGCATTGGTTGCAAGAGCTAAAGGTCCAAACCATGGAAGAAGGTCGTAGTCTAGAGGGGGGCATCCTGCAGTTGGTAGGAATCAGTGTGCCTTTTGTAGAGAGAATGGACATTGGAAAGCCGAATGCCCAAAATTACAAGCCGTGAAGAATAAAGGGAAAGCTATTCAAGCTTCAGAGGTAAATGTTGCCAAGGCTAGTGGCGATGTTTCAGATTCAGATTCTTCGGGCTATTCATGCCCAGCTCTTCCGTCAGTTGATGTTGCCGACTCCACCGAGTGGATGTTGGATTCTGGTGCTACTTATCATATATGCCCTAGAAGGGATTGGTTCTCCAGCTTTCTGGAGTTGGAAAGAGGGGATGTTGTTCTCATGGGTAATGATCACAGATGCCCTATTGGTGGTATTGGTACCGTTTGGATTCGGATGAGTGACGGGATGATCCGGGAGTTGGCTGATGTGAGGTTCGTTCCTCAACTGAGGAAGAACATCATTTCACTTGGGGTATTAGAGGCATCAGGCTATAGGGTGACCTTGGCGGATTCTCGCTTGAAGGTCACATCGGGGTCCATAATTGTGATGAAGGGAGTCAGGCGGAGTAACTTGTATTATCTACTTGGGAGCACGGTAGTTGATAGGGCGCTGACTACTTCTATGGCTAGAAGAAGACCGAGGTGGAGTTTAGCACTTCTATCCATCGATCGAGGGGTCTTATTGGAGGTGTTCAGTCAGGCATTGGGGGGCTTTCCGAGGAGGCATCATCGGGAGGTAATCGTTATTTTGTTTCCTATGTTGGGGATTGTACTAGGCATATTTGGGTTGCAACCAAGTCCCGTTGGTATAAAGCCCTAGTTGTCCGCAACAGTTGGAGGAGGTGTATGGGCAGAAAGATTACCAGTCGTACTTATTCTAGTAGGAGTCCTTTCTTGCATTGGTGCCGAGCTCATGGCAGTTGGAGACACTTCAGAGGAGAGGAGACAGTGGGGCGACGTGATGAGATGACGGATTCAGTGAGCCGTTCTTTTCTGGAGGAGGATCGGTATTGGTTGTCGAGTAGTGGATCTGGTATTCAGGCTTCGACAGGTTTGGGTCATCTTATGAGGTTTCCGACTGCTGCGTATAGAGTTGTTAGATCTGGTGGAGCTGCTTCAGATTTTGGTTGGCGTCGGATATTGGGCTACCCAGCACTTGGTCACATCGCTGATATGAGATTGGATCTGATTGCGCATTTGGGATTAAGGAGTTCATTCGGCTATTAGTGGGGAGCTTCTGAGTTTGGTCTGAGCAGGTTTGTCACTTTGGACTCTCGGCAGGTGGAGAGTATTGATCAGGTCAGAGGGATATCGCAGTGGGTGGAGGTTGATGCTACTCCACATTGGGTGGGGATTTCCCCACATACTCCAGGTCATTCTGTATTGGTTGGGATTCCAGCTGAGGTGACACAGCGTGGGAGTCATTTATTTATGAGTGCAGATGATGAGGTAGTTGATATGGATGCAGGTGATGGATATGTTTTGGATACGGCCATTGTTTCATCTCAGGTGGAGGTATTGGACTGTTTTTAGATTGGGGTCGTTTATGATGTTATCAGCCGCAGGTTGGATTGAGGGCCTTTGGAGGCCATTGGGTGAACTACGTGAAGGCTTAATTCATTGGAGAGGATACGTAGGCAGTCAGTTTTCTGATGCAGCCGATTTGGTGAGCGACATTGACATTTGGGGTGAGTGTTCGCACTCCCATTTGGGTCTCAGCAAGTGAGACATTTGATGTAGTCGGTGTAGGCTCAGTTCGATTTGGTGAGTAGACATAGTTGGTTTTGGGGTTGAGTGTTTGCACTCTCGTTTGGGTCTCGACGTGTTGTGGATGGGGTCCGTTGTTATGAGTCCGTTGCCATGGCATACTGGATGTAGCAGTTGAGGCATTGGTTTGTTCGGTGTCGGCTCAGATTTGGGAAATCTTCACCGAGGTGGAGATTTGTAGAATTGGCAGAGATCAGGTTTCAGGCTTAGGATTCAGGTTGTCAGGGTGGCGGTCGACCGGCCCGGTCGACCGTGTTCGTGCACAGGAGGTTCTGGGCATCAGGATTGGTGGCGGTCGACCGACACAGTCGACCGAAGATGGTAGCGGTCGACCGACGCGGTCGACCGCCGAACTCTCTGGATTCTTGGAGCTGTTCTGGATGGAGGGCGGTCGACCGGGCCGGTCGACCGCCAAAGCGGGTTGAGTCTGGGTCTGTTTTCCAGACCCGTTTCGTTTGGGTTTCCTATAAATACCCAAAGGGGTGTTTCTAGGGTTTGGAGGCTGAAGTTTGAGATCTGAAGGGAGAGTTTTATTGGGCTTCTATTGTTGGAGTAATTTGTGAGATCAAGAGTGAGTTGTTGTGGGTTTTTGGTGAGAGATTTGTAACCCTAGTTGTATCCTATTGTTTCTAATAGTGAAAACTCCCCTCTCCTTGCCCCGTGGACGTAGGCATCTTGCCGAACCACATAAAACTGGTGTTAATGATTGTTTATGCTTGTTGGTGTGTTGGTTTATCTTTTCTTGGCGATTGGTTTGGATTCTCGAGGCACAACATTTATGATATTAAACCCTTGGTAAAAATGATTCCGGTTCTCAAAGCACAAGAAAACGTGTTCCCCCTCCCCAAAGACTTTTTCAACGGGTGCTTTATCCTCAAAATGCTCCGTGGTTTTCTTCTAGCCCCCAAAACGAATTCTCAAGCGTAACTCCGTTTAAACCCCTCACGAAGTACCCAAAATACCCTTCGATTTAAAATTCCCCGTTATGAGTTACCTCCAAGTTCGTATCATGTCATCTCTCTTCTGTAAGCAAACCGACTCCAGAAACCCATTTCAAAACCCTAGCCCTAAATCAACCGACTCCAACGCAAACTGAATCAAAGCAAATAGCTTAAAATGGACGGCGATTCAACCCCCAAAGCAAGACTCCATGCCGACCACAGCGAAAGCGATGACGCCCAGCAGTTCGAAATCTCAGAAAGAGCCCAGACAACAGCAGTGCGTACTGAATCTGATGCTGAAGTTGCGATTGCTAATGTTCTAGAGGATATAGTAACCAGCCATTCTCAACCAGAAGTCCACCTCAAAATTTAAGTCTAGGCCCCCGCCCAGATCTAGAGGGTAGCACCGGCACCATCGCCATGTCCAACGAATCCACTAGAACGCTCCTTGGTCTACAGAAAGGAGAAAAGGAGAAGCTCGTGGCAGCACCCAAAAGGTAATTTTTACCGCAAATTTTATGTTGTTAAGGTTATGGTTTTATTGATAATGCTCCTAGTCTGGTGGGAAGGTCCAAAATTACGGGTGTCTGTTAGCTGTTGAGATTACTGTTAACATGCAAGGTTCATGCTTTTATTGTTAAGGTTGTTGTTTATTTATTGAGGTTAGGCTTTGGTTGTTAAGATTATGGGGTTGTTGTTAAGCTTGTTGGTTTCTCTGTAAAGTTTACAGCATAGTTGTTATGTT